CTGTCAGACAGCAGTTGCCACAAATATATTATTACCTAATTATTTCAATGTCTCTGATTGATTTTTTCTTAGTTTTTTTGCAGTAATATTATTCCATACAGTGAATTGTGGTATATTTATATTATAAAATGTGTGAACCATCGCTGTACTCAAAATTATGGTGTGCATATTAGTGATTCAATTATTATGTTCATAAAACAATAAACAAATAGTTTTGCTGTTGTTACACTATATACACAGGTTATATATAAGTATCTGCATGTTTTGTACACCATAACGAACTACTAAGTTGGTCTTGTGAGTCAAAAAGCAACGAGGAGTGAACGCCAAACACCAGCGAGCCACTCACTGCCACTCCCTCCCTCAACACCACCTCACTCACCCTCATTTACCTCCCATAATACTCTTTCTGTATTTATTCACTATACACAGACGTTATATATACGTATTTACATGTTTTGTTCACCATAACTGTACATCTAAGCTTGTATGGTGAGTAAAGGCCATAAGACGTAGCTACTCACACAGTCAGCTGATTGGCGGCCGCCCTCAAGGCCAGACGCACTAATATTTGTCCTCCAACAATATTGTTTGTGGTGTTATTACGCTATATACACACATTATATATAAGTATCTACCTGTTTTATTCACCATACCTGAACAAATAAGCTGGTATGGTGCCCAAAGACCATAGTGGCCATCAGTAAACAACATGCCAAGTCGTGCAGACAACGCTCCTCCCTCACCAAAATGGCGGCTCCCAACCTACTCCTCTCGCTGTTATCTCACTCTATACACACGTTATATATAAGTATCTACATTTGTGTTCACCATGGCGAACCACTAAGCTGGTATGGTGAGTGCAGTCAATAAATGGTGACCACACACAGTCAGAAAACGACGCCACAACCCTCCCTCCCACAGCATTACTCCTCCCTCCATGGAGCACAGCGCTAAATATCACCACAATCCTGCTATTATCAGAATCCTGGTCAGTTTTATCACAGTCAGGGGGCTTCAGTAATACTATCACTGCTAAATAATAGCAGTATCATTTATATTATGGTATTTGTAGGCGATGCTGTGGTCACAAGCTGAACAGCGGTGCTGTGAGCTCGTGCTGCGTGCGCCAGCCTTGGTGGCTTGCTCAATATTGACGCTGTAACACCCAAGAATGTTGGCCTGGATTATTTTTCTAGGTGGCATCTGGCAACTATCGGTCGTGGCTGTACTATAGCTGCCCCTATCCCAGGTGGGGTGTTTAAATTATAGCGCTAGACACGAAATCATATATAAATGATGTGCGCGGTTTCGGTTTTGTCACTGATATCATTTATATATGATATGCGCAGTTTGAGGGTTAAATACCTGTTGGCCTCCCCCCCCCCTCATGTTTGCCTAACATGTCATGTGGCCCCTCCATGTTAGAATCATACATGCAAATGTGGTATACAGTAACTGAAAATGTTCTTTAATTTACTCAACATGTTTTGTCATTTGATATAATATACAGTACTTGTATAATCATATATAGTACTGTAAATGTATACATAAATGTTGAAAACCCCAGTGTTAAATGCCGAGACTGATTCACGCTAAAATGTCACATCTTTCGCGGAAGCTGTGTTTCTTCTAGTGGGGGATCGGAGCTAGAATCTGGCCCCCCTTCCTCCTAGAAGTGTAGGGAGAGAGACAATTCAACACCACATCTGTAACATACTGTCTACATAAATGATCTACCAGTTGGTATACAATATTATATGAACATGTTTGCTGATGATGCTAAGATAATAGGAAGGATAAGAAACTTAGATGATTGTCATGCCCTTCAAGATGACCAGGACAAAATAAGTATATGGAGCACCATTTGGCAAATGGAATATAATGTTAATAAATCCCATGTTATGGAATGTGGAATAGGAGAACATAGACCCCACACAACCTATATATTATGTGAGAAACCTTTAAAGAATTCTGATAAAGAAAGAGATCTAGGGGTGGCTCTAGACAGAAAACTATCACCTGAGGACCACATAAAGAATATTGTGCGAGGAGCCTATGCCACGCTTTCTAACTTCAGAATTGCTTTTAAATACATGGATGGCGATATACTAAAGAAATTGTTCACGACTTTTGTTAGGCCAAAGCTAGAATATGCAGCAGTTGTGTGGTGCCCATATCTTAAGAAGCACATCAACAAACTGGAAAAGGTGCAAAGACATGCTACTAAGTGGCTCCCAGAACTGAAGGGCAAGAGCTACGAAGAGAGGTTAGAGGCATTAAATATGCCAAAACTAGAAGACAGAAGAAAAAGAGGTGATATGATCACTACGTACAAAATAATAACATGAATTGATAAAATCGATAGGGAAGATTTCCCGAGACCTGGAACTTTAAGAACAAGAGGTCATAGATGTAAACTAGCTAAACACAGATGCCGAAGAAATATAAGAAAATTCACTTTCGCAAACAGAGTGGTAGACAGTTGGAACAAGTTAGGTGAGAAGGTGGTGGAGGCCAAGACCTTCAGTAGTTTCAAAGCGTTATATGACAAAGAGTGCTGGGAAGACGGGACACCACGAGCGTAGCTCTCATCCTGTAACCACACTTGGGTAATTACACTCCAGAAAGTCAGCGGCGTATTACAGATAACTGGAGGGTTCATAGAAAATGAAGCCTCAAACTGTCAAACAACTCCACAAATGATTCACATAGAATAAGGGATTCACTCAAATTAGCTAGAAACTCTTAGTACCAATTACCACCAACAGGAAATGTGTGTTCAACACCAACAGGAGCCAGCTAGGGCTATGGCCCTAGCTGGCTCCTCATCTCAGGTCAGGACCTGATGAAAAACATGGAGGGAGGGGGGGGGAATCAGGGAGCCACCGGGGCTCCTCCAGAAAGAGGCATTTCATTATATTTAACGCTGGGTTTCTGACACCGGGGTGGTAAGAAGCCTTCAGGTGGCTCCTTGAAGGTAACTAACCACAAAACAAAATTGGGACTTACCAGGAAGAAGAGGAGACAGCTGTACTAGGATGAAGAAAAGAACCCAGGCCGAAAGATGCTGCGAGAACGGGTTGGCCCAAAGCCACACACGACTAACTGGGACCAGGAACACTGACCAAATACCTGGCAGCTAGAACCCAGTTAGGTGCCAAAACCCCCGAGCAGAATATAAGCCCCAGACATGTTGGAGAAGACTTTGACCAAAGCCGCAAATTTGTGAACATCGTTAGCTCGATAGTAAACTGCAAACTAGCTATACAGTACTTGGTGAAAATGCTGGCAACATGATAAATGCGAGCCTTGAACTTGGGAACATGGAAACATGCAACCAACACAGCATTAACCGAGACAGAACCGGTGACATGCAGGTAGTGGCCAAGACCTGCATCTGGATGTAATAAATGATGCACCTCAAACAAACCAAACAAGCATCAGTCACCAAAGAACCTCTCTGGATGCCTGTCAACTTATTTTTTGCCAGAAAAAACCAGCGTTGAATGTAATGAAATGCCATTTTCTGGGTGAGCCCTGGAGGTTCCCTGGAGCTTATCAGGCTCCAGGGTTTTATATTAGATCAGGACATTAGCTATGGAGTTCGGACCTACCAGGGACCACGAGCCAGAACCTGGCCCCTGCAGAGAGGTTTCAGGGAGCAATGGCCCTGGAAACCCACCCCCCCCATGCGGTTGGGGGGGTTTTCTTTATCTGCCATCGACGCGAAAAACCGCCGACCAGTGGAAGGGAGGGTTGCCAGGGAGCCTCCGGGGCTCACACAGAAAATGGCGTTTCATTACATTCAACGCAGGTTGTCTGTGGGGAATCCCTATGGCTCCCTGGAGCTACATACCCAAAGAAAAGTAAAAAAGGGACCACTCCGGGAGGTGGTCGCCACAAGCTCCTCAATGGGATGTCGAGACAACTGGCCGCAACCTGTGACCCAAAGCAACACAGGAATGTCCAGGAGCCGGCACGCACCAAACCGGACGGCCAGGACCCTGTCCGACCCCATAAACCCAGCGCCTAAATAATAGCCCAGGACATGTAGCCAAATGTTGCCACAAAGGCAACAAACCTCCTAACCTCATAGGCATGAGGATAGACCACAGGCTGGCTAAGTTTAAGAACCCTGAGGACGACCTAGGAGACCCAAGTCCAGAAACAGGGAACAAGGGAACCCCCCAGAACAACTCCAGGGTAAGGTGAGGAGTGAGCGGCGACCGCCTCCCAGGTAAGTCCCTAAGTTTTTTCCTCTGTGGGTAGTTAGCTCCGAGGAGCCGAAGGGGCTCCCCCCAGTAAACCAGTGTTGAATGTAATGAAACGCCATTTTCTGGGTGAGACCCGGAGGCACCCCGGCATCCCTCCCTCCCTCCCGTCTGCGTTTTTTTGTGTGTTTTGACATCCAGCCTAAGAACTGAGGGTGGATAGTCGGTGTGAGGGGTCTAGGGCTCCCCCCTCCCGGGGAGGGGGAGAGCTGCGCAGACAGCGGCGTGGCGATGTGTGATGTCATGATCGTTTGCTCGTTTCTTTTAGAGGACTTCTATCCACTTGTTCGGCTTTTGGTAGCAATATTTTCACCAGAATAGGGGTTTGTTTTGGGATGCTTACCTTTCTGGTTGCCTGACCCGGTCGATGGCAGACATAGAATGCCTACAACCACACGGGGTTTTCTATAGGCCATTGATCCCCCTTGCCTCTTCTGAGGGGGCCAGGTTCTGGCTCATGGTCCCCGGTAGGCCCATAGAACTCCATACACATGACAGATGCCAAAGTCTGACATTAGCATATCAGCCTAGTAAGCTCTGGGGAGCTTCCGGGTCTCACCCAGAAAATAGCGTTTTATTACGTTCAACGCTGGTTTTTTATGCATTTGAAGGTGATAAAGTCTAAGAAACCTATCAATCATCAGTTATATCACAACAATTTTCTACATTATTTGCAACATGCTCTAAAACTGTAATGCTGTAAATTGAAGAATAAACATGACTTACCAATCTCAAGATAATGGGGCGGAAGATCTACCGGACCAGGAGCCAATTGGGAAGGATTAGTGACCCGATCCCTCACCCGGCACACCTTGACAGAGTCTCCCCAGCCCACTATGAGTGTGCGGTCATCAGGCCAACACAGGTGTGGAGGATACTGATCACACGGCAGGCTATAGCAGACCAGAATAAGACAATAAGATTAAACAGGAATGCCATTTACAAAATGAAAGCAATTTCATGTCTTTAAACCTACTGCATGCTCATGTGGGCTTAATAATTATGATATTCTTGGTTAATACAGTAATACTGTATCAGTTTAAGGTTTTGACATTAAAAATTTAATGAACTACTATCTGCCACTCAAATAAAGTACTGTACCTTGCATTTTGAACCTTACATCCAACATTAATTTTAGCGTGACTGGTGAAATGGTGATACACCCGCGTCAAAAAGACCAGACGCAAAGAGCAGAGGAGAAGGTTGAACCAGCCCCGTACCAGACCGGTCTGACCTGCTGAAAAAGGCAGAGCCGGAGGAAACGCCCTGGGTTCAGACACCGAGCAAACAGCGCTGGAAACCAAGGCTGGGCTGGCCACCAAGGAGCCACAAGGACTACTCTCCCTGGGAAGGTCTCCAACCGAGCCAGAACTCAAAGCAACAGCTGGACCAGGGGAAAGAAGCACAGGTAACCTCACCTTGACCAGTCCTGCCGAAAGGCATCCACCGCGAACGCCTCGCAGTCGGGAAAGGGAGTCACATAAACTGGGAAACGCCGAGACCATGCCGACGCGAAGAGGTCCACGTCCGGGAGTCCATACGTCTGGCAGATCCAACGAAACGAGTCATCGTCGACCGTCTAGGGAAATGGATGACAGGGAATGAAACGAAACAGGCCGTCCACCAGGACGTTGGACACTCCCTAGATATGAACCACACTGAGAGCCAAATCCCAAGAATCCAGCAGACGAACCACTCGAAGGGACCAACCCCAAAGAGGCAAGGACTGAAGAGAACCCCCCGCGGTTCAGGCAATGAACCACTGGAGAACAGTCCGAATGGAGCAGGATGGTCGCTCTCCAAGCGACCCGAACTCTCAGAAGCATGAACCAGACTGCCGCGAACTCCCGAACCTTGCTGTGAGCCCGACGGAAGGACAGACCCCACCGTCCCTGGCCGGCCTGTTGAGTACTGGTCACAAAGCCCCAGCTGAGAGACGATGCGTCCGTGAACACATCGAGCGAAGGCTCGGGAAGGCGCTAAGGCACCGAACCCTGAAAACCCCGGCAGCCGGCGCTGTGAGGTACGGGTCCCCCCCTCCCTCTCTTGCGGAGGGGGGCTGTGCGGACAAGAGGCGCAGCAGTAAAGTGTGATGTGTTGTTTGTTTCCTTGGGATTGTAGGGAGTTTCTACCTCTCTTTGGTTTTTTGTTTTAGTTTCTTACTATGTGGGGTTTGTTTTGCTTGCCTACCTTTCTGGGTGCCTAACCCCAGTCGATGGCAGATAAGGAAAACCTCCAACTACAAGGGGGTTTTCCAGGGCCATTGCTCCCTGAAACCTCTCTGAAGGCGCCAGGTTCTGGCGCTTGTCCCTGGTAGGTCTGAACTCCATAGCTAATGTCCTGGTCTAATATAACATACATTAGCCCGATAAGCTCCAGGGAGCCGTAGGGGCTCCCCACAGTAAATACATTTTATACTGAATAATACTCGTAGGTACTTTACCTTTATTGAGGACTATTGTTAGCGTATGGAAGACAGTGAGGAAGGGGAGGAGGAAGAGAGGTGTTTGTGTTAGGAAGGGGAGTCCCCTTCCATTATAAGAGCAGTGATGACATTTCTGGGGTACTCTCATGCTTACGTTTAGCAGGCATATCACTAGGACCTGGTTATGGTTCACTGCTTGCTTGTCTTACTAAGAATCCATCTATAGACACTTATTTTTCCTTATGTTTTAACACTTGTCTGTTAAGACAAGTGAGACGCCACATTGTCTCAGTATGAATGATCTATTTTTTTCCTCTATCGTCATCCTCACAACTATTTTCTTAGGTAGAATATTACCACTGACTTTCTTGGAACCCATGGCGTGATATATAATAAAAACTTTTATGTTTAGAAACCAAAATACCAGCGTTGAATGTAATGAAACGGCATTTTCTGGGTGAGTCCCATAGGCTCCTCGGAGCTATCCAGGCTGGATGGATATGTGTATCTGTCTGGCATCAGTCAATGCATGGAGTTCTGCCTAATTGGGATCATGAGCCAGAACCTGCTCCTTTCTAGAGAGGCACGAGAAGCAATGGCCTATAGAGACTCCCCCTGTGGTTGGGAGCATTCTATGTCTGCCATCGATGGGACAACCACCCAGAAAGGTAGGCGCCCCAAAACAAACCCCTATTCTGGTAAAATTATAGCGACCGAAAGTCGAACAGGTGGACAGAACTCCCCAAATGAAAGTTAGCAAACTAGCATGACATCATCATGTCGCTGCGCAGCTGTCTGTGAACCCCCCACCCCCTCCCCAGGAGAGGAAAGGGGAAGCCCCAGACCCACCCGTCGGCGACCCAACTTCCAGTTCTTAGGCAGGATGTCAAAAAACACAAAAAGCACCGCCAACCGGAGAGAGGGAGGGATGCCGGAGAGCCTCTGGGAGTCACCCAGAAATGGCGTTTCAATACATTCAATGCTGGTTTTCTGGGGGAAGCCCCGTTGGCCCCGCGGAGCTAACTACCCAAAGATAAGGAAAAAACAAGGACTTACCCGGAAGGTGGTTCATCCTCACTCCTCAACGCCAAGTCGAGACAACTGGCTGCAACCGCCGACCCAAGGCAAAGCAGGTCCTACCTGGCCCCGGAACATTCACCAGGTAGCGAGCAGCCAGGACCATGTTCGACCTCCAAAAACCTTGCACCCGAATGTCAACCCAAGACATGTTGCCAAAAACGGCAACCAAAGCCACAAACTTACGACTGTAGTGGGCATGGGGATAACCCGCAGGCCAGTTAGACTTAATAACCCTGCAGACAACCTGAGAGATCCGAGCCCGGGAAGGGAAGAAGGGAAACCGGGTCAACCCAAAGCACATCCTCAGCCGTGGTGCGCAAATAACGGTGGAGAGCCGCAACCGGACATAACACATGATGCACCCCCAGCTTGACCAACCAAGCATCAAGAACCCAAGGCCCCCTCCGAAACGCAGCCATTTCATTCTTCGCCAGAAAAGAAGGACACGGCTGCAACCGAACAAACGACCACCAGGACCGAAGGAGCAGAAACCCCTGTGCCGGAGGAGAGCATGAAGCTTCCCTACCCGGCCCCTAGATGCCAATGCCAACAGGAAAAAGAGCTTTAGAAAAAAAATCCCGAACAGAAGGGGCCACAACAAACCGAGGAGAAGAGAGCAACGAGAGCACCCGGTCCAAGGACCAGGACGGCTCAGGAGGCGCACGAGTAGACCGGAGGTGAAACAATGCCTGCGACAGCTTGCAGAACGGGGCAGAAGTAACATCAACACCGAAAGCAAACTGAAGCGGCTACGCCAGCACCGCATGATACGAGGCGCTGGGCACAAGACGGTCCTGGAACAACCAAGAGAGAGAGAGAGGACAGAACAACCCTATCAGAAACCGAAAAATACCTACGCAGTGATAGGAAGAACCGGAAGGACCACTAGGAAGCACCATACTGCTGCCGAGACGAAACACGTAGGTGGGAGACCAACAACGACGCCACCTGCTCACCATACAAGTGATGATATACCAGAGTCATAAACTCCAGACGTGAAGACTCGAGGAGAAGACCGAACCAGTCTCTTACTGGGCTGGACCGATCCACTGAAAGGTGGAGCCGTGGGAAGACCCCTCGGGTTCAGACACCGAGCAAGCAGCGCCTGAAACCAAAGCTGGGCCCGCCACCATGGAGCCAGAAGGACAACTATTCCCTGGTAAGTCTCCAAGCGAGCCAGGACCTGGAGCAACAGCTGAACCCGGGGAAAGAGGTAAAGGTAATCCCACCTCGTCCAGTCCTGCCTGAAGGCGCCGACCTCGATGGCCTCGCAGTTGGGGAAGGACGCCAAGTATACCGGGAGACGCCTCAACCACGCCGACGTGAAGAGATCCACGTCCGGAGTCCCGAACGTCCGGCACAGCCAACTGAAGGAGGCGGCGTCGACTGTCCATTCCATGGAAAGGGGGAAGGAAAAAGAGACAGGCCGTCCGTGAGGACGTTGGACACCCCCCGGACATGAACCGCCAGGAGATCCAAACCCCGTGAACTCAGCAGACGAGTCACCCGAAGCGACCAACCCCAAAGAGCCAAGGATCGCATCGAACCCCCTCAGTTCAGGAAATGAACCATCAGGGAGCAGTCCGAACGGAGCCAGATTGTAGATCCTAGAGCGACTCAAACCCTCCGGAGCAACAACCACACCGCCGCGAACTCCCAGACCGTGCTGTGAGCCCGACCGAAGAACGGACCCCACCGCCCCTGGCCGGCCTGATGAGCACTGGTCACAAAACCCCAGCCAAGAGACGACGCGTCCGTGTACACATCAAGCGAGGGCTCGGGCACGTGCCAAGGCACTGAATCCCCCCCAAAAAAAACAGAGCAAGCCGGCGACGCAGCAACTAATGCAAAGCCCTCGCAGGCCGAACCCAATGATCACGAGAGAGGCGGAATGGCCGTCCCCGAAGGAACCAGAACAGCCAACAAAGCCACACCCGATTCGGGTGTGGCAGGTAGACCATCGTGGCAAAGTGCAGGCTCCTGCACAAACTCTTGAGCAACCGCCGCGTGACCCGGGAACCCCTCAGAAACAGACGAAGGTGGGACCGCAGGCAAAGCAGAGCTGCCGGAGGCAGAGACAAGGAAGTGGTGTGAGCGTCCCAAACCAGACCCAGCCAAGACCGAACCTGAGAGGGAACCAGATGGGACTTCCTCCAGTTCACCAAGAACCCAAACCCGGCGAGCTGGGAAAGAACCAGATCCCTGGCGAGCAGGCACACGGACTGGCTGGGAGCCCAAACCAGCCAGTCATCGAGGTAGGCCAGAACCCGAACACCTAACAAATGCAGGCGGGAAACCACAACCCAAGTAAGGCGTGTGAAAACGCGAGGCGCCAGATTCAACCCGAAGGGAAGACAACAAAAGCAGAAAGTTTGATGCCCCACAACA